GAGAGCTTCAGCTCTGTTTGAGTAGTTAAGCATAACAAAAATCACCAGGCTAAGTAAGTTTTGACTTTTGATTGCCTGATTTTATTCCTTGGAATTTGGTTAAGCACTTTTAGTGAAGTACTGATTCTTTGTGTGTATCTTGTGTTATGTATGTGTGTTTTACCTACTTCTAAAGAAATCAGTGCTTGGTATCCAACAGCATCTAACTTTCTACTAGGTTTGTTAGGCTGAATGGAAACTGTCTATCATCTTATTGTGTCTCAAGGAACTCAACATTTCTTGAGCTCCTATCTCCTGCTGTTATTCCTTTGGAAGACAGAATTCCTGGCTCCCCAGTAAGAAGTTTCCCCTGAGGGAAAACCTTTGTTTTCAGGCACAATACTTAATATTCAGCAGACGACCCATAAACTAGCAATTCTATGCATATATGTATGATGAGATATGATTCCTAATCCAAATGTACAGAAGACATAAAATATTTTCTAAATTCTGTGATAACTCATGAAAAGGAGTTCAATAAACACTTTAAAAATATCCAAATAATTTAAATCTTAAAAGTAATTTTAATCTTTTTTGTGCAATAAAATAAATTAGATAACATTTTTAAAGTAGTAAAGCAATAGAAAGGCTATATTAAAATTGAAAATGTAGAAATAAAAAGCAAATTTTAAAATTTAGTTTTTAAAAACTTAATTCTTAAAATAATCATTTAAAATGAATCCTTTTAAACTAAGTACTGTCTTTGATATAATCTGTTTCTACCATTGGTATCCTATTATTTATCACCACAAAGTGTACCAAAGTGTAAGGCTGATCATTGAATGAAATGTAACATGAAGCTACATTGTTGTTCCTGTCTGCACCATCATTTTTATCAGTAATTTGGATGAAACTATACAGAGCATGATTCTCAAATGTGTGTATGACATGATACCAAAATCCCTAGGTAAGAAACTGAATTACAATCTTGGATCACTGAGATTTAATAGGCTGGGACACTGAGGCAGTTAGTAAAGATCAAATTTTAAGGGATTAAAGGAAAGTCCCACAATTTCAGGCCCATGTGCACAAGTAGCGTGAAAAAGACCTGTGATATATAAGGTGATCAATTGCAAGTTCAGTGATAGCCAATTATGTCACTGATTAATTAAAAAGCAACAGTCTCAGGCATATTAACAGAAAGAGTACTATTCAATTATTAGTTATCTATTATTAATTTACACTGTGTTAGGTAAATTTACTAGTTTGATTTCACACTGCTATGAAGAAATACCGGAGACTGGGTAATTAATAAAGCAAAGAGGTTTAATTGACTCACAGTTCCACATTGCTGGGGAGTCCAGGAAACTTACAATCATGGTAGAAGGCAAAGGAGAAGCAGGCACCTTCTTCACAGGGAGGCAGGACAGAGTGAGTGTAAGCAGGGGAAATGCCGGATGCTTATAAAACCATCAGGTCTCGTGAGACTCGCTCACTAGCATGAGAACAGCATGGGGGAACCACCCACATGATCCAATTACCTCCACCTGGTCCTGCCCTTGACTCATGGGGATTATGGGGATTGCAATTCAAGATGAAATTTAGGTGGGGACACAGCCAAACCTTGTCAGTAATGGTCAAATTAAGTAACATTTCACTGCTCTGGGCATGATTAGCTTGCCTAGGGAGTATTTGTATTCCATTTGAACACTTAGTATAGAGATTCAAGCTGTTTAGCCCCTACCAGAAAGCAGAAATACATATAAAGATATAAAAGTTTAGAAAGGCAGATTTCAGGTAGTTTAAAAGAAATTATTTCTTAGATAACCTGAACTGTTTGTTGTAAGTGGATGCTTGCCAGGAAAGTCCTGGGCTCCCAGTTGTTGAAAATATTGGCACCAGGTGAATTGTATTTACCAGAAACAACCCGTAAGCATCTCTTCTTTAAAAAGACACAGAAGAGGCCAGGTGAAGTGGCTCACGCCTGCAATCCCAGCATTTTGGGAGGTCGAGGCTGGTGGATCACAAGGTCAGGAGTTCAAGATCAGCCTGGCCAAGATGGTGAAACCCATCTCTACTAAAAATACAAAAAAATTAACTGGGTGTGGTGGCAGGTGCCTGTAATACCAGCTACTCTGGAGACTGAGACAGAGAATTGCTTGAACCCGGGAGGTGGAGGTTACAGTGAGCCGAGTTCATGCCACTTCACTCCAGCCTGGGTGACAGAGTGAGACACCATCACAAAAAAAAAAAAA